CTCCCAGATTCTGTGCTGGTCCCGGGGGGGGGGGTACCGTGCAGCGTGGTGAGTCCGGTCCTAGGTCGAGGGTCTGGAGGCTGTCTGTCAAGGGCGAAGCAGGAGTTGGGCATGGTCAGGAACTCTGGAAGAGCAGGACAGGGTGCTGGCAGGAACAGGTTACCAACGATGTTGCTCCCGCAACCTGGGACTGGGCTTACTGGCCTTTATCTCCTCTGAGCCATAGGGCGGCCCCGGTCCACAGGTGATTCGCCTCCCCTGGCCTGGAGGCGAGCACTCCTCCTGCAGGAACTTAGTTCCCTCCACCTCTCTGCCCTGAGCCTCTGCAGCTCAGGAGAGGCTGGAGGGTTACCGGACCCAGAGGCAACCTCCTCTTCCCCTGACGGGGCTGAGAGTGGAGCACCTGCGGGCAATGGGTCCTCCCTCACCTCCGGAGCCAGAGCGGATTCAGCTGGTGTCTGCTCCTGAGGATCCGGCACAGGTGAGGACCCTTCAGGTTCAAGCCCCTGTCCCGGCTCAGTCAGCCCTGGAGGCGGGGACTCCTGTGCAGGCTGGGATTCCTCAGGTTCAGCCTCTGAATCAGATTCCCAGGCCATCACATACTGCTAGCGATTGAGCCAGACATGAACTTACGACGCTCTTCACTGTAAATAGGTTGCACCAAGACAGGCCGGATTCTTGCCTGTTTGCTCTCTAGCAACCACACCACCTTCTGACATTGGCAATTGGCCCTGTAGGCATGTCTTTAATTTAATAGCACTGCGATCCCTGCTCCCAACTGGTCCAACAATACTGTCATCTTGCACCGCGTCAAGGGGGCTACTTAAGAGGAAGCCCCGCCTGAGCCCCCATGAGGCGGCCAGGTGTTATAGGACACAGTCCTTTGGGGTAAAGCCACTTCCGAGCTAGGGAGGAGGTGGGGTTGTGGGCTTCACGCCCCTCCTCACACACGCGGGGGCTGGCTTTCAGCCCCCGTGATACCAGGGGAATCCTCGGACGCATCACCATCCCGGCCAGCCAATCGGCTGGCCCGGGAGGCGTGGCCGGCTCTATTTAGGGCGGCGCGGCCGAGGATCTCCCTCTTTCCCGCGCCTCAGCTGATCAGGTTTTCCCTCCCCTCCCACCCGTTAGGCTATGCTCTCTGACGTTGCTATGGACTTTGGCTGGTCACCGTCAAGGGGCCTGGTAGGAATTTCTTCCGACTGGCAGATTGGCACCAGCCACTTTGTTTTCGCCTACCTCGTAGCAAACCGTCACAACTCCCAGTATGGGTGGTTAGGCATTGGTGGGGGTATTATTATGCAGATGATGGGGGGGGAGGAAGCGCCATCACCTTCCCCCCAAAACAAAGGGTAGTCCGGTAAAGGATTCAGGGGGGCATGGTCTCGTCCTAAGCCTATGGTGGTGTGGGCCCACGGCACGCCCCCGAGCGGTGACCCCGGGGCAGCTCCTAGTTGACATGCATCAGTGGGACTCCCCCTACTGGTGGTTAACCCTTACCGGTCTTCAAGCAAGCGGACTGAAGCTGGTTAGTTGATAGGACCAATGCCTAAGCCAATACCGCTCAATTCCTGTAATCAATAAAGTTGTGGCCTAATTTGACCCATTAACTTGAATTCTTGTGTCTCGTGTCTTTATTTCTGTGGGGGAGGCGGGAACTCGCCACGCAACTAGACATTTTTACCTCTTGGTTATGGCAGGGACACAAGGGCAGCCTGTCTATGTCAAGGTAGTTGAAGTCGCCCATGCCTACGGCATAGACATGGATAGACAAATTGTCCACTTTTATGCCTTCCAGCTTCTTCTTTTTCCCATCATAAGTTCAGCTATCCACATATCTGCATAAGTTTGCAGGCTTGCTGTTGTTTTTTAAAGAGAAACAAAAAACAACGGAAAACTCATGAAAATTCAACAGCATTTTAATGTGAATTTCTTTCGATACACACTTTTGTATGCAATTGTGCCACAAATTCACATTTTTTTTGCAAAGCAATTTGCTGTAAGATAATGCATTTTTAGCATGCTTTTTTTTAAAAACTATTCCTTACATCAAAGGACACACTTTCCCCCCATTATGTGCATTCCCATAAACATGACTGGAGACCTAAACTGCAAAATCTGGAGAAATGTGAATTTTAGAGGATGACTGTTTTTGGTGTGAACCTTGTTTCAGAAAGTGTGAACTTTCAATCCAGGCTGAATATTAAATGTCTCCTCCATTCCTACAACACATTGCGACAACCCACCGCTTAGGGGAGTTTATTTTGTGAAAAGGTTATTTGTGAGATGTTGTGGGTGCCAAAGTGTTTTGGATGTACGTCTAGGAATCCTAGAGGTTAGGGTGGTCTTTGGGGGGCTGATGAAATACAGAGAGGATCCCTTTAGAAATGAGATAGAATTCTTCCCTGTTGGCTGAGAGGACCACGTCCCACATGCCTTAACCTCAAGGGGCTTGACCTGACCTTGTCCCAGAATTCAGGTTCCAATGGCAGCTCAGCAGGGCTCTGGAAGGAAGAGCCAGAGGAGTCCTCTAAAGCAGAGGTGGTTGACATATTGGCCATCCAGATATTGATGAACTTCAACTCCCATCAGCCCTCACAATTGACTAAACTGGCCAGGACTGATGGGAGTTGGAGTCCAGCAACATTTAGAGAGTCACAGGTCCTTCTCTCCTGATCTAAAGGAACATGATGCTATCCAGACATTTGGACCATCTTTGGCTCTCCAGATGTTGCTGGACTCCAGCATCTGGGGGCCACAGGTTCCTCCATCCCTGCATTGGGAGAAGCAAGGGAGAAGGGAGGAGTGGCTTGAGGGAGATGGAGGTCCCTGGAAGGGTTTCCTACAAGGGGATGGGAGGCAGTGAAGGCACATGCCCAAACACCATCCTGTATGAAACAACTGATAGATCTGATTTCGCGGCCATTGAGGGTCTCTCTCTCTCTCTCTCTCTCTCTCTCTCTCTCTCTGTGTGTGTGTGTGTGTGTGTGTGTTTCGTTGCAGAATGCAAGCGAAGCAGGTTATTCAGCAAGCAAAAGCATTAGGGGTGGGAAAGAAGGCACAATGTCACCGCGGTTGCTTCTTCTGTTCACAGATTCATGGTTCTCTTGATCCATGGAAGGTAGTGGGAGATGCGGGTGTAAATTCCAGGATAGCGATACAAGATGATTCCTTCTGCCACACCATTGCACACCAAGGGGCCACCCGTGATCCCCTGTGGAGAGAAGAGAGAGATAAGACATGGCAGCTGGGGGAAGATTTGGATCCACCTCGTGGCAAACTCTGGTGCTTGAACCAGGGCAATCAGCCAGGTTCCTGTTGGTTGGATCCTTCAATTCTGAGTGGAGATCTTGGTGGACATTTCCCCTAATATATTGATTTTGGAGAGCAATGTCTTTCTAATCAAATGCATTTTTGTACATCAGTTTTACCAATATATGCATTTACAGTGGTACCTCGGGTTACATACGCTTCAGGTTACATATGCTTCAGGTTACAGACTCTGCTAACCCAGAAATAGTGCTTCAGGTTAAGAACTTTGCTTCAGGATGAGAACAGAAATCGGGCTCCGGCGGCGCAGCAGCAGCAGCAGGAGACCCCATTAGCTAAAGTGGTGCTTCAGGTTAAGAACAGTTTCAGGTTAAGTACGGACCTCCGGAACGAATTAAGTACTTAACCTGAGGTACCACTGTATAGGTGCTCTTCCTGCTAATGCATTCCTTTATGTAAATATTATTTGAGTGGAGAACTATTCGGCCATTATAAAAGATAACCAATTTTCAGTTCCGCTATAAGTTCAGAAAGCATAAATCAGCTCTGCTTGTGTTTAAAAGGAGGACCGGACCTAGGGTGGCATCCCATAATACTATGATACACAATGAGTGTTGATTTCAGTGGGTCTGCTGTCAGTAGGACTTAGGGCTCGCTTGTCCCGTCTGAGCAGTTTCCCACTTGCCCACTCCTTTCCCAGGGAAAACCAGCTCTTTAGCTCTAAACCGGAAGAAACAGCAATCTGCAGAAAACTCCTTTCTTGTTTGCCCTGATTCAGCTCCACAGAGCGGTTTTCTCCTGGAAAAGCAGCGGGACAAGAGGAGTTGTGCAGGAGCCCTTAGCAGGATGCAAGCCTAAATAACTCCAGCTTCACTTTGGGGGACCCTTGGAGCGCCTGTAAAGGACAGAAGTGAAGGGTATCGTTCGACATCCACCCCTGGGGATTGGCAGACATTCTATGAAGCCGCTGGGTTGGTCAGGCCAGGTGTAAGTAGACTGGTATCTGCCCTTGTCTATTTTGCTGGAGAGAATAATCCCTCAGAAGGATCCCCAACCTCTGATCCTCCCACTCACTGCTTCTGCTGGCTCTCACCTTGAAAACATTCTTGTTCTGTCTCCTGGAACAGACATTCCCGTAATTGTAATAGTAATGATACAACCTCTTGCACCGACTACGGCCAAAGATAGTGACATTTGGTGACCAGCCTTTGTAAACCCAGTCCCATCCTGCCACGCTGCAGGGAGTCCCTTCGGAGAGGTCACTGTTGAATTTGGGCAAGGGCAGGATCTGGACGTATTCATTCAAAGTAGCCTTGGAATTCAGCTGCGGAAAGGAGAGATGGGAAAGAGCTCATTGATTTATTGTTGCTTGAGGAAGCCCTTGGGGGAGCCTGGTGCCTCTGAAATGGGGCACTTTGGGCAAAAAAAGTAGCAGAATGTATTCATAATACAGAATGATAATATTATGGCATGGATAATATTAATGGTCCACGTTCAACTATATGGTTGCACCAGCAAGAGTCCTGCCAATGCGATGGGGCTTCTCCACTGCATCCCCAAATCTGTGGTCAAATGTTCTATAGGGTGTTGTTTCTTTAGAAATCACGGGCCTGGGGACTTTTTGTGAAATACAAGTCGTTACAAAATTCTGAAGAAATAGAGTATCTTTAGCAACCGTGGTCTTGATGCTTGCCCAGGTGGGAGATGCCTGGCACTTAACTCTTCAGCCTCTTGACCGACGTGGGTTTTATTACCTCTGGTGGGACAAGAGGAATCGTGCAGGAGCCCTTAGCACAGGGGTAAGCAAACATTTTCAGCAGGGGGCCGGTTCACTGTCCCTTAGACCTTGTGGGGGGCCGGACTATATTTTGAAAAAAGAATGAACGAATTCCTGGCCCCACAAATAACCCAGAGATGCATTTTAAATAACAAATAACCCAGAGATGCATTCTGGCAAACATTTCAATACTAAAAGAATACAACTAAAAATGTTTTAAGATAAAAACTCCTACAAGCAGCCACCTACAGTGGTGCCCCGCAAGACGAATGCCTCGCAAGACGAAAAACTTGCTAGACGAAAGGGTTTTGCGTTTTTTGAGTCGTTCCGCAAGACGAATTTCCCTATGGGCTTGCTTCGCAAGACGAAACATCTTGCGAGTTCTTGCGAGTTTGTTTCCTTTTTCTTAAAGCCGCTAAGCCGTTAATAGCCGCTAAGCCGCTAAGCTGTTAATAGCCGCTAAGCCGCTAAGCCGCTAATAGCCGTGCTTCACAAGACGAAAAAACCGCAAGATGAAGAGACTCGCGGAACGGATTAATTTCGTCTT